ATTTTTCTTTAAATTCATTTGAGATCCTTTATTACGGACTAAATATCATAATTTCATTTTATTATTACTAATATATTAAGTAGTTTTAACTAATGTCTTAGCCTTTTATTGCACAAAATAATTATAAATCATAATGCATAAGTATTTTAAACTTTAAATTAAATTATTAATCTTCATAATAAATACATATAAGTTATATTATATATTTAAGGTAAATGATTTAAATTGTGATATAAAGATATTTTAAATTTTTATCTAGAAGTAGTTTTTTCTATAGTTTGAGTTTTGGTTTGTTTCATCTCTTGTTGAAACAGTCTTTTAAGTGGCTTCATTATAACATGTTGATATGTTAAAATGAATTAGAAATAATTTTAAAGTGAATTTGTGAAAAAATGGTTCTAGGATGGCAAATAGACTCATATGCGTAGTATTCTTTGATATAGTATGAGTTTGGATATGGATAATATTCATTTCTTTTTCTAATTGGATCTTTTCCTAATTGATACAAGAACAGTGATGAATATGTACATATTTTATCAATAAATAAGCATTAAAGTTCTTATGATTAAATTTATTGACAATTTTATGATTAAATTTATTGATAAATCTATTGATAACTCAATATTTTGAAAATTCTTTAATAACTTAATTTTTTAAAATTTGTCAATAAATTCAACAATAAAATAGGCATCAAATTTCATATCAAATATGTTATACACTAATTGGATATGGATAAGAAAAAAATATAAGAAAGAGAAAAAAAAAAGGTGAAAAAAAAACAAAAGAGGGGAAAATGTGAAAGAAAAGCTAACAACAAGACAAAACCAAAACCAGAGAAAGAAAAGAGAAAAAATAGAGAAAGAATAAAATATTTATGATATTTATCCACGAAAATAACCAACAATCAAAATGTTATTAATTAACAATAAATTTTATCAATCGATAATAATTATAAATAAATTTGTGATCATTGAAAATAATTACTAATTTTTTTATCTGTTGATCAATTGTATCAATAAGAATTTTTACCCATGAATTTTTATGATCCAAAGATCATCAGTAATTTTAATACGAATTTGATTTATTTAGTGTTAACCATCAAGTGCAATCTCACACAGTATTGAGGAAAATACAACATAAACTTGATATATAAGGAAACCCACATGACTACCATGAATACCATTATATGTTTTTGTAGTTTTTCATTCTTTTGTAAATGATTTTTCTTTTTTTTTTCATAGGCTTGAAAATGACAAGACCAAATTTAATCCAAACTAAAGATCAGGAGTCTACTCTAGCAAAAAGAAGAAAAAAGCCGAAGGAAAATAGTGTGTTCAGTCAAATTTGTTAGATGAAAAAGGTTAAGTTATCAAGATTAGGAAAAAAACTTAGTAGTTTACATAAATTGTTTTGACGAGGACATATAGGTCAATACTTAGGATACCTCATTCAATACCACCTAAAGGCCTTAAGACTTAGTCTAAAGACCTTGATTTTGGAAGACTGGTGTAATGGTTGAATGAGGACACTTCATTCAATGCACACTGAATATTCAGGAATGAAAGCACTTCAACCAATGCACACTGAAGACCTAGGGATGAAGACACCTTAGCTAATGCATACTGAAGATCCATGGATAAATACACCTTGTCTAAGACATTAATGTAAAGGTATCTGACTAAGTGTCCACAAATGCAACATCGACTTAAGGTATAAACCATCTCTATATTAGAATGAGATAAAAAAAATAATGCTTAGAAAATCCTAAAAAAGAGTAAGTTTTTGAATCTTGGGTCCAAGAAAAGCAGGACCCATATAAATACACTGTCTGCGAGGTATGTTAGTGATCATTATTGCATTATTTTATCTGTTACATCTTCCTAACTTAAGTGTCAAAGTGTCTTTGCAAATATCTCACCTTAGATACCTTAGCCATATCAAAAGAGGAAACCACAACACAATAAAATGGAAAATTATGATGTAAAGAAGAAGGAAGATGGACACATGTGACTCCTATAACATCTCGACCTAATAAGAAGATTTGTGTACTTCTAAGTATATATAAGCCTACAAAAACACATATAAAATAATATTTAACATAATCTCAATTTTAATAAAAGCTTTCTATATTAATTAGTTATAAGTATGAGTGAAGATAACAAATATTTGTTTTTTAAAATTAAGTGTAAAAATGAGAATGAGTATTATATATTTATATTATCTTCATTCTCATATTTATTCTTATTTTAAATTATTAAAATATATCTAATTTCTTAGATAAATTAAAAAAATAAATATTATTTTTTTATCCTTTGTTTTATTTTATTTAGAAAAAAATTGATTTGGTGCATAGATTTTTATTCTTTCTTGTAAATGTATAACTCATATGACAATTACTAACATTATTTTCACTCAAATTCCCAAATGCCTTATATCACATTGTCAATTACACATTTAATAGTTTTCCTTTTGTAATGTGTTTTAGTATGAATATTCAGGACCGAGATACGAACCCTATTGGTGATGCTTTACTACTTCTGAACGTTTGAGACAATTGCTCTTTCTCGAATGATATCAGATGCTCACCTTCCTGTAACTTGTTCGTACTCCTCTCACTGGTGTAAAATGTCCTCCTCAATGGAAGTGGGGGGTACCTGCGAAGATACTCCGATGCTAAAGTCAGATATTAGCTATGGAACCTTAGTTCTCAAAACCAGTAATCTTTTCTCACAATATGATCTTTTTAGTCTTAGAGGAAAACATACCTTTTTTCCTTGGTCTCTGTTGTATTTAACGTAAACAAAATGTAAAACAAAACTGATTGTCTTAAAATCCGGTTAGTTGCTGTGATCCACGTTATTCTTAAGATCCGGTTAGTTGCTCGCGTAATTCGCGTTATTAACGTCATATATTTTTGATTATTTCTTCTTTTGCTGGACTATTGGTCAAATTACTTAAATGTTGAGCTAATTGGCCCAATATCGTTTCACAGAATTGAGCGTCCGCTGAACCCAGTTTGGTGGATTGATTGAGTGTCGCTTGACTTTTAACGTGCGCTGACCTGATTATCGTGGTTTGACAAGCGCTTTTAACTTTAGTTGAATTGACGAGTGTTTGATAAAGTTGGCGAGCGTTTCTATAGTGGGTAGAGCGCTCGGTCTTGGTTGATAACCGTTTTGAATATCATACTATACATACTGTATTATATTTCATAAGACATATATTTTAAAATGTTTAATCGTATAAATATTTCATAATTTATTAGATGAGCTAAACAACTAATTTTCTCCTTAATTTAATTTTATTTAAAGAAGTTTTATTTTTCTACACACTCTTAATCATTTATTAGTTCAACTTATTCAATATTTACCAAATTCATTTAAATTTTTTTTCTCTATATTTGTGGAAATAATGTATATTATAATTATTATGAAATTTTAATTGTATTATTATTAATATTTTTATAATTACTTAACATTTGAATAATATTATGTATGTAGTATTATTTGATATTTATAACTTCGTTTTTGAAATTTAACAACTAGATCATTCATGTTTTCTTTATTAAGGTTTTTATTTTTTTAAAGAGATATTTAACTAGTATTTGAGATAAAAACAAATATTGATCTCTGCTTATATAAAAAAAAGGTTTTCTTTATTATGATTTATATTATTTTAAGAAATATTTAACTAACATTTGAGATAAAAAAAAACAAATATGGATATTAATATAAATATACCTGCTAAAGATGAGACAAAGATTAAATTTCATATGATGAAAACATACATGAATTTTTGTCAAACTTAGTCCTGTCCTTTACCATTCCTACTTCCCTACCTTAATTCTAACAATTTATATTAATGCTTGTATATAACATTTTTTAAAACCAATCTATAAAGCCTTAAAGTTTGTTTTATTTTCTGAAATGGTCAAACTTGATATGAGCTTCTAGTTTTGTAATTTTATTTTATATTTATATACTTATTTGATCTCCTATTTGGTTAAAAAAAATTGAGTTTATTCATTCAATTTTTTGTTTTAATTTTATCACAATTTTAAAAGAATTAAGTTACTATAAAAGTAAAGTTAGAATAACGTTAATAATATGTCACGTATTAATATGTTGTTCACATATTAAATTATCAGCATCACGTGACAAAATCATATCATATATCAAATATTATTGTTTTAATTTAATTTTTTTCAAAATAAAACAATATTATTTTTTAAAATTGAAACTAAATTTATTATTTATATAAATTTTATACTAATATTTATATTAAAATTTATTAAACCAAACTTATTATTTATAACATTTTATACTAATATTTATATTAAAATTTTATTTTTAACTAAAGTATTAATATAAAATTTTTATAAATAATAATTAAAAATAATATTATTTTATTTAAAATTAAATTAAATTAAATTAAATCAGAAAGAAATTAAATCAAAAATAATGACAGTCGACCCATAGAATTATCCTGTCACATGCTAATATAATACTACGCATGACACGTGAATAATAATTTTACGTGAATAATAATTTTTTCCATGTCACATGTTAATAATACTATGCACGACACGTGACTAATAATTTTTTTTTAAAAAAAAACAGTAACAGATTAAAACATGATATACCGTTAATAGTATTAATAATTTCTTTTTAAAAAAAAACCACAATTTGAAACTTTCCCACCAAGTAATTATACCTTTCTTATACAACACCACAGCACTGTTCATTAATACTCGTTCGGATTTGCCAACCGTGAGTAGGGCTTTTAGCTTGTTAATATCTACACTCATTTATAACACAAGACAATGAACTCAAATTCATAGTTACTGAGACTAGTTGCCACCATCTCCTTCAAGAATATACATTTAAGCAAAAGTCAAATCACTGATATTTTAAACTACTAAGCAGATTATTGTACGAGAATGAAGGAAATAAAGATATTTATATAAACCATGGTGCTTTCTATTAAGTAAAGATAGGCAGTTGTTATAAGGTGGCCTTAATGCATATACATAAACTACAGAACACATTACAGACATTCCGTTAAATACATTCATTGATGATGAAAAATAAAAGAGTTTCGCAAGAGATTCACACCTTAATGACAAGAACGGAATGTGCAAATCTCTTGTTAATAAGTGATTGATTTGATCTGTACAGGGATATACAAATGAGCTAACTAGATAGATACAATTTACCATCTCAACTTCACCACCAGTCCACAATATCACAAGGGCTGGATACTTCTGCCACCAGAAGTGGGAAGCAAGTACTGCAACTCTATAATAACAACTCAATTAGCCGACTCCGCTTCTGGCTTTTATGTCACTAACTTCAACTGGAACAAGGGATCCAAGACAACAACAGCATACATTAAAATCTGTCTGTTGCAATCACTTACCGTATGTGAGAGTCATAAGCATCAAAAAGGGAGTCTGGAACAATCAAAGGCAACTTATCTATGTACATGAAAAGCCTTCTCAGATTCTCCCTTGTCACTGTTGCCATGTCTACCACATCCCTCCTATCAGTGAATACCCACAGATCACCTGAGTTCACTCTCTTCAGACTGTCACGGCAAAATGGGCATGATTGTGATATAGTTCGCCTGCAAAATTTATCAGATCACTTCAAACTTCAACTAAACCTACAAAATACTTCGACAACATGTTGCTGGGAGCTACAAGGTAGCAATTTAAAATAAAGGGTAGCTAAATCTACACCAAAACAATGACATATACATGTGACAGTCCTAGTGTTCTGTTTCAAACTAGAAACAGACACAGATGACGTTTACTCAATAGCTGGTAGGATTGAATACTATCCACCAAAGGGTCTTGGCTTCAAATCCTCCAGGTGTCCATTGTTATAGGTCATTTTCAAGTAACCATTTTGTTAGCTGTCAGCAAACTACACAGTATAGGCAGATTAGCTCATAGAAACTTTAGCGCAGACGATGAATAGTCATCCCAAGTTGACAGTGCATGATCCCATCAACCAATATTCAATAAAAATGACCAGAGTCTGGTTTCATAGCCAGACCCTGAAACCCACTTCTACTCTCTTTCATTTTCAACCACCACACAAACAACAAATAGCCCATAATAGTTCCACAGGAAAACGGCAAAACAAATTGTCTTTCTCGTAAATCGAGGTACAATAATTAAGAAAAATTTAATTTCTATGATTTAGGAAGACCTTTTGTGCTTGCACATTCACATATAAGAACAACAGACTTCATTAAAGAGATGATTGCAGAAGGCAAAATTGGTTACTGGACGTTTTCATTCGCAACATGGATATTCAAGAAACGAAAACACACAAAATCCAGAAACAAATATAACTAACTTTTTAAGCCTTACAAACTACAACAGACTGAAGAGTTAATATCATCATAGTAAAAAATTACACCAAGTGCCAATCAGCCAAGTGGCATTCAGAAGACATAAACGCAAGACACATTCCTCCACCAACTACTTAAGCTAACTATATCAATTCAAATAAATAGTTTTCTTCTAATAAATAATTTTACACCACCATACTAATTTTGTTTTACTACATTAAATATTCACATTCAAGCAGTAATAACAAGCGACAATCAAACCTTCATATGCACAGTGCCGTGTAATTGCACCTGCAATCAAGCACAGAACGTTCATAGTGAGACTTGTAACTTCCACCACTTAAAGCCTCCATTCGCAAAAAGACACTAAACCAGGTTATAAACAATTACTACCAAAACGAACTGAACAAACCCAAAACCTTCGACAATTGAAATTTTACTATGGCTGAAATATTGTACTCATTTTGTAGTGACTGTGTTCATAATCCATGAAGTCAGAAAATCTAATAAACAAACCATAAACATAGAGTTTATTGTTAGAGAACACAAAGAATCAAACCGTATAGAAACAAGTCAAACAGCTATACATCTACATGCTGGTAAAAGAATGGGAAGTGCCACATATTAACACACAGAGAGAGAGAGAGAGAGAGAGAGAGAGAGATACAGAGATTATTTGTTGGATGAAGTACCATTCTCGGTAACATTTCAGGCACATGGCATGGTTGCAGTTGGGTAACACAATCTTAGTATTCATGTCCATGCATATTCCACATTCATCTTCTCTTTCAATGTCTATGTCAGAAGACTGTCTATAATCCTCATCATCTCTTCTGCGATACCTCTCCATGCATACAGCCTTTTGCTTCTTATCCTCAGTGTCAGTGATACCTTTCTGAAGTTGCAATAAAGAGGGATAAATGACCGCTGCTCAGAGAAGAAATTCAACGTGTCAGCAACAAACAAAAACTAATATGCAAACTAACTTAATTTAGATTAAAAAACAAGGACAGATATACCATAGAATTCTCTAATACTTGCTTTTCTTTCATGTGTAGACATGGTGGTTGTCCCATCCACATAGACCTACAACATGAGGCAAATTCTTCATCTGGTCCAAGTCCCTCATTTCAATATCCACACCTAAAAATCAAAGCACCTTACCTTGTAAATTAGGATTCTTAACAGTCCAAGGGCTCCAGCAAGATGACAATCTGTCCATTGCACCAGAAAAAGAAACAAGTGCGCTGCCGGACTGTACGACATTCTCATCTGAAGGCACGCACCATCATATTCCCTTGGAAAATCTGACGCCCTGCACATCCCAATTTTTTTTCATGATCAACCAATAACTAACTGCAGTAAATTAGCTTTTACAACACTAACTAGTATATTGATACTTGATGACAATTTGAGACAGAAATGTCATTGCAATATTTACAAATGACAACATTGCATTCAGCTTGCTCCTCTAAAGATATTTCGCGACAAGCACATCAAAAGCACTACATGTTACCAAACCAATAAATGTTATGTAGCCTGTCACCATATAGTGTAGCAGGTATTAAAGATATAATAACGCAATAGCGTTCAGAGATTAAGAAA